TCACTTTTACATAATTATTTCAATTATATTTCCTATTTTAACTAATTACTACTAATATTTTAAGCCAAAAATATTGTATAACTTCGCACTTCGTTAAAATATAAAATAACTGGTCAAAAGAAATTTACCATAGATCGGTAAAAATCTCAAAAAGAGCGGGAAAATAAAAAACAACACCCACACTCACTCTTTCACTTGCTTTGACATTAACAGCGGAAACTGAAGAGATCCAAAGCAATGGCCAGGAATGGGAATGTTAAACGCGAGCTGGTCATGAAGAACAGAGCTGAATCCTGTATTGCTGACTAAAATGAATTGACTCAGAATGACACGGCAGAGCGCAGAGTTCTTCGCTCCCATTACGTCAAGCTTCATAATCTCATTAGCGGTAATAACTAGTTTTGCCAATCTCTCCATGTGTGCTTCTGTGTGCAAATATGTATGTGTTTATGAATTTGGATCTCTTCAATATTTTCTCTCTGTATTTCTCCATGCTAAACCATACTTTCAAATGGGTCATCAGATTGAGAGGAACAGGAGATAATGTCCTGCAGACGATCTAAATCTGCTGTTTCTAAGTACTAATATGTATTTTTCAATTTGGATTCTTGTGTTCTTGACGTAGAAAGAAGAGAAGATATAGCAAGTGTGCACTCAGATAAGTTCATGTCCATCATTAACGAAGTGGAAGACTTGCATCAGCTAGGTATATTACTCACATCGCTCCCTCTTTCTCTGTGTATCTCTCCGCCCTTGTCACTTTATACATATGCACACCCATATGTATGTGTGTGTGCACATTTATAGCACTCTTGTTTGGATGAACAAATTTTTTCACATACTAGGGAAGAAAAACAGAAAGGAAATTTTGCAGTTTGGCCTCTGTGGAACGAGAGAGTGGGGTGTGGCGGACGTAGTGAAGACTTAAATTCTGGGATTGTATGCACAAATTAGCTGTCCTCATATTCAAGCCCATAAATTCATAATTATGATCTTGATATTTATACCATTACACCGGCTAATAGCCCCATAGAATTTTTATACACCTTGAAGAATGCAATTGTCCATCGTCAATTTTAATTGGTCTTTTAGTGAGTAAGACAATTGAATAACCTTCATTGCTATAAATACATCAGGAATCAATTGAAAATTATCATGTGATAATATACCCATAGAATAGTACTTGAGAACTGTTTTTATCCCCTCCTCCCCCCCACTCCACGATGAAAAAAAAGAAGAAAAATGACTACTTGAGATAAAAAGGTCAATTGAAGCTTATTGGGTGGACTAGTGTAGGCCATTTGTAATATCTTGCGTGTACAAATTCTTTGGTTATGTGGCACCATTCTTGAAAATAAAGGGAAATATTATGTCAACCAATTTTTTTATGGTTTAGTTAAATATCTGCATTAGCCTTGAGAATGCAAATTTCCATTAATTTGGAATTGTTGTATTAGTATATACCTAGAAAAGGTTAGTGAGAAATGTTTTGGATCTAAATAGTAAAAGTAAAAATAAAGAGGGCAATTTTGAAGTTATGAGGTGGCCTAGTGTAGGCCATTGGTCATGTCTTGCACAGGCAGATTGCTTAGTTGTGTGGTAGAATTTTCAAAAATCGAAAGTATAGATTATGTCAATCGTTGTTGTACAGTTCTGTTGAATATTTGCAGTAGCATTTTTACATTACTTTCTTTATTTGTGAAATGTCCTGTTGCATAAGCCAGCTTACCAAATTGGAATGATTTAAAGACGTTGTGGTTTGTTGTTTTTGGTTCTGAAAATTGTGGCCACTTTACTTTGACACCTAGACAATGTTGTTTTTCTCTAGTGCTTTTTGAGCCAACCGTATTAATCAAGCTGATGAAGTGGTAGGTTTTTAACAGTTTCGTAGTGTAAAGTTTGTTTAAAGACTGATGTTTATGGTGCTTTGCATAAGTTGCATGTATATGATATTCGTTGTGAACCTACGACGAGTTATGAAAGTGAAAATTGAGATGACACTTACGTGAATTGTATATATTCACCAATCAATAACGTTTATGTTTCTATTGTTCATGTTATTGTAGCAGTACTCATGAACATATAGGGAGAACGGCCACAGGAATTTTCTTATATGTTTGTAGTACAACTGTACAAGTTGGTTTTCATAGCTTAATTAGCAAAATTAGCTATCCCAACTAGTTAAGATGAGGCTTTATTAGGTAGATTTAATCTTCATTTGGTAACGCTTTTTCAAAGTACTTTTTTAATGAGCAATGTTATTTAAGGCGTAAAATGAACCGAAGCGACCAAGTCTCTTAACACCTAGGCGAAAAGCGAGAAGCGAAACGACTCGCTTTACCGAAACAAAACGAACAGTTAAAAAAAATATATATTTTAGTTTAATTACTTCTAAACAATCTAAGTTCTAATTTTATATATACTAAATATTTAAATGCAAGTAAAACCACAAACATTTAAATTAAAACAAACACTAATAATATCTTAAATTTTAATAACAGTCATAATTTAAATTTTAAAATTTAAACAAATACTAATAATTGTATACATTTTTATATTGACAGGGTAGGACAACAAAAGAAGCAGGATTATGACAGCAGCAGAATCAACAACAAAAAAAAAAGAAGCGAATAAGGATTAAAAAAAAAACAGAAGTAGCACAGGACAGCAAAACCAAAGCAGCAACAGAATCAATAAAAAAAATAGAAGCAGAATGAACTAAAAAAAAACAGAAGCACAATGATCATGACAGGAACAGAATTAATTGTAAACAATTTTATATATAATTATGTACTGAATAAAAAAAATAGAACAGAGGCACATTTCACATGTACTAAAATAATTAAATATGATATAAGCATAGACAACTTTTTGATACCATTTGTACATATATAAGAAAAGGGAAAAATATAACCAAGACATATCAGAGATACTTCTTTGTAGAAGACTATTATTTATCTCTATTCCTGATACTCCTGTTTCCTTTCTTTATCATAATTTTGCCATGTAGTCGCCTGACTCCCACTTCCCATAAATATTTTAAATGAATTCAGCAACACAAGGAAAAAAAAGAATGTGTTTTGTTCGGAACATTGTTTATTAGAAAAAAAAAATAGACCAACGATAGTCTAAAAAAAAGTTATCAGTGATTAAAAAATAAAAGAGATTACTAACCTGTGATCAGAAAAAAAAAAAAAAAAGGAGCAGAATCGCCTCTTATAATAAAGTGTTCGCTTTTTCGCTTCTTCGTTTTTTCTCGCTTCGCTTGGGGTCCTCCGGGCGAGATAAGCTCGCTTCGTCTCACTTCTCGTCTAGGCAAACTTTTCAAAACAAATGAGAAAAGTAAATTTAACAAAATTTTGCTTTTTGCTTAAAAAGCAAAAGCAAAAAGTAAAAACATGTTTGACAAATATCTTTGGAAAAGTACTGTGAAAAAAAACATGCACACACACGCATACAATAATACGCCAAAAACACACCTTCACCCCCCCCCCCCCCCAACACACCAAGTTGCCTATCAGGTGCGCTTCAGTGAGAACTTTTTGGCTTTGTCTTTTTCTATTCCAGAGGCATGTGTTTATGAAGTTAGTATTTCAAGAAATGCATGTGTCTATAACTTGCATCTTACATCAATGAGGGTTGCATCTCGCCTTCTGCCTCACACTCATGCCCCAAGGGACCTTGGCACCTTAGTGCGCCTTAAATAACACTGTGTTTGTGTTGGTGGATTAGTATGTGTGTGTGTTTTGGTGGATTAATATATGTATTTGTGTAAAGTTTGTTATTTGTTTCAAGAGGTAAAATTTTCTTTTGCTTTTAAAAAAAACACTATTTCTCTTATTTTGCTTTTTAAAAGTTCTTTTCGGATATAAAAATAATGCTACTTTTTGTTATTTTGTTTTTTTTTTACTTAAAAATGCAACAAAGCAAAAAATACCTTAAAAAAAATGTTATCAAACGATGCCTTGATTCATGAAGTTGCAAACTAATTTGTTAACTGAGTTGGGTTTTCAGTTAAGAAGCCAAGGGAACAAGTAGCAGATGCAGAGGCACTATTCGACCTTACTAGCACCTTGGTGGCCTCTGTTAAATTACATTCCAGTGGAGGTGTCATCCCATCAGATTATGTGTCATGTTTGCTCAGGCACTTTGGGCAACAACTTGGAAGAGGACGAACTTCTGAGAATAGCCCAAATTTAATCTCCTGGAAAGATATTGGGTTTGCTGTTTCACCCATTTTCAGGAATGGCAAAGGATGCTGCACCATGTGAGCTCCTAACAAAGCCTTGTTTTCTGAAAGCCACCTGTAATTTCATTTCTTTACTTTTTTCCAGTTTCAAATTTTGGTTTCTGTTTGCCATTTGCTCTAAGGACTGGATCCATGAAAAATGAACTCAAGCAACGGAAAGTTACAGTTTATAGAAAACGTTCAAGAACAGCTGAAAGTGCTCGACCAGAAGAGGTATAATGCACATCAATAAAATCCTCTATTATTGTTCTTATTGGGATGTTTATCTTTCTTCTTTTGAGAGAATTCGTGTTAAGTCTAGTATTTGTGTTCTGGGAAATTTTAGAATAGTTGCTTAATTGGAAAATAAATTGTGACATCTTAGCTTCATACTGGAGAAGAAGTCACATATTCCATTTTATTTTTCTGTGAATCAGGTTGCTTAGTCAAGGAATTGTGATTTACCATTATTTCTGATTCCTAAGGTTTCGTATCTTTCTAAGAAAGATGATCATAGACCAATATCCTGTTGCGGTGCAATTTACATGAGCACATTCAGAACTATAACCATCAGAATGATGGTTTTTTATATTTTTAGTTTTACATTCTTGTATTTTTTAGAGCCGGACTTGTAGCATGAGCAAGTGCTTATTTGTCCAAACAATATTCCATGGATTTGAGTCCAGGTTTATGTCTCTCAGTCTCTGTTATAAAGAGATGCCTTGTGCACCAAGTACGAGCGTATTTAGCTTTGTGTGGGTACTGCTTTTTTTTTTTTTTTTTTTTTTTTTTTTTTTTTTTTGGGGGGGGGGGGGGGTTCGGATAAAGTGGCTATACCAGAAATGTGATAGAATTTTCAGACAACATCCTTACAAGCATATAGTTCATTGAGCGCCTCTGATATTGATTCTAGACTTTAATGTGGATGGGATTTCTTAGTGTGATGGGTGATCGACTTGAAGTTTGTGTTACCTTTTCTCAAGTTGTCCATCAGTATAGATGGGAAATAAACAGATAGTTGCAGACAAGGACACAAACGACCTTTTCATTCAAATTTATTGTTGTTATGGAAGGCTCGATGGCATTATTTGGAATCTTACTAGCCAAAAAGAATCTAACTTTAACTAGATTTATGAAAAAGCGAAGATCACAAGGCTACGATCTGTCGACAGCCTTTTGATGTTCAGTGGAGTTGAGGCAGGGTCTGCTAGGATGCCATGGAGATGTCTAAGGGCATGGCAGTACTTTGTCCAAATTGAAAGAAAGCACTGATTTGTATACCAGGTTGAAAACGGGCAGAATGTTCCAAGCTGTCCCTTTTATAAGGGTGTTATGAGCAAGGTATTTGGGGTTGCCTCTTATTTCCATTGAGATCAAGGCAGATGACTGTAAAATGGTTTAGCAGTGGGAAAGTAAAGCTCTATCTTGTACTAAAGGATACAAATCATTATATCCGTTTACTTGCCACTTAACATTAATTTGCTCCCTATGTAAATTCTACTGAGGAAGATTTAGAAATGAACTGAGCGGCCCTTCTTTTGACTGAAGGTATTACTGGAAATGTTTGGTGCTAAAGTGCCTTTTAAGGCTGTGTCTCAAGTACATGAATCAGGTTGTGCTCTTAGGAGCAAGGCATCTATTTCAATATGAATTTGCAATTGTCCAGTGCAATATGGTGAATGAATTAAAACATGTGAGGAAGGATTTTTTGGTCTGTGAAAAATGCTGACACTGGATGGCATTATTTTACCCTCGGTATTTTTTTTTCCTTTTCTTCCATCTCACAAGTCCACATTTTTGGCTAATTTCAGAAAATTGTTGGCAATGGAGGCAGGACTTACCTATTAAGTAACACCTTGAGGCTCCATCTTTAGAACAGGCGAGGAAGAGTGAAATTGATACGAGGCTTGGATTAATTCAAGTAGTAGGGTGCGTAGTGCGAATGCATGACCAAAATTGGCTTGACGCCAATTCCAGTGGTTTGATGAGGCAAAATATAAGTATCCTTAATCCTATGAATTTATTCACAAGATGCATATGCTATTAAGTAGTTAAAACAGCAGCTGATAATAAAAAGTGTAATTGAATTTTATAGAGAACTAAATAATCTAAGTAATGAGGTAGTGCCCATACATAGTTTTATCTTGTGGGTGGCTGGTCAAGAAAGCTTGGCACTCACTCACGACCAACTGACAAAAGGCATGTAAGTTTTGTATTTTGCAAATTTTTGCTGAGACTGATGATCACTTTGTTTTAAGGGATAGTCTAGCATGCAGAGGACTCAGATCAACTGGCAGAAATTTTTGATTTGGACTACTGCTTGAATTACGAAGGAGGAGACTTGCTTATACAGGTGTACGAGCTGTCTTTAGATGCTTCAGTTTGTGCTCTGCGGACAAAGTGGTAGAGTTTTCTCCAATGAACAATTAATACTGTGTTGCTGTGACATGCCTAAAAAGCAGATCGATGTCATTGAGGAACTTCACCTCTCAAACAATTAGGTCAATCTTAGAGCAACAGATACATAAAATGGCTCTGTTTTTCCTTCTAGAGGAAACTAAGCTAAAGTCAGAGTTGAGGAAGGATGCTGAAGTATGTCAAATCTTCCAAGCTGTGTGCGTGCTCATTTTTTCTTCTAATTTTGCTTGCAGTTCTACAGTCATTTTGGTGTGATTAGATACTGTTGGTTGGTTCTGCTAGGCACTTTTTTTGGGGGTAAAATAGCTGGGGACTACTTCTCCATAAGTCCTGGGATATAACTCCCTTTAATTATTCATCAGTAAGTTACTTGTTCTTATTATTCATGCTTGCTTATGGGAAAATATATTTGTACTAAATGAAAAATATGTTTGCCTTTGTTCTCTTTCACCTGCCATGATGTAGAAAAAAAAAGGGAGTTTATCATTGTGGGAATCCAGGTGTGGGCTTTGAAAAGTCAATTTTGAATGTCCTGTGATTCCATGTGTACATCTATCTTTTAATTGATCTTAGCAATGCTCCATTCATTTAACTTCCAGGTAAAACCATGATGCTATTCACTCGTTAGATTATAGTAAATTGGTTTGTAGGTGCAAAAATTCCTGGTCATTGGTAGGTGTTATGATGGTAAAAGACTCTTATCTATCACCTCTTATTATATTTTCAATGTTCCTGTGGGATGATTTATTGTCTGAGCTTTTTGACATTTACCTGGATAATAGATATAATGATTATATATTCTGCTGCTAGCTCTTGCAATGTCGTGCATTCATTTTGAAAATTCTTTTGTACCAGCTTGTCGATATGACTGCAGAAGAGAGAACAGATACTGACAAGAATATATCAATCATGTTTGAGATTTTAAGGAAGAAGAAAAGTGTTAACCTTGAGAGTCTAATTTTGAACAGGAAGTCCTTTTCACAAACAATTGAGAATTTATTTGTGATGTCTTTCTTAGTGAAAGATGGGCGGGTTGTAATAGACGTGGATGAAAATGGCTTTCAATTCATTTGTAAGATATTGTTTTATCTAATTCTGCTGAGCTCTTTTTTCCTTCCTCCCTCAAATGTACTGAGCTCTTTTTTTCCAGCCCCAAGAAATGCTCCAGCAGCCAGTTCAGTTATGTCGGGCGAAGTTTCATACAACTACTTTATCTTCAGATTTGATTTCAAAGATTGGAAGGTACAAAATCCTAAATACAAATTAAAATTGGTGCTTGTGTGACAATAGTTTTTCTGTGCAACTGGTATTTCTTTTGTGAAATTCGTGGGTTTTGAAGCACATACCTAAGCATGTGGCTCCTGATTGTTAGTGGTTGAAACACCTCAGATGTGACCTTGACTGTATGCCAAGCTTTGCAGAATTTGAGCCATTGAAGTCTCTGGCTGTGTTCCACTAGTAAAGGATAAAGCTCTTTAAATATCTCATTGAACTAGATGGTGGCTGAATCAAAAGTTTTTCTCTCAAAGCTCTAGGGAAAACTCTTTTAACTTGCCTGATTTCTCAAGGAACTTTTTTGCGCTGTATGTCTTGCTAAGGTTCTCTCTTTCAACATATGGTAATAGGTGGCACATAAAGACAGTTTTGAGTAAAGAGCCCAAGTTTTGAACAATTCTTGGGGACTCCATTCAAATGAACTTTAAGATGGTTCCAATGTTGATGTTATAAATTGATCATTTTTAGTTTGAAACATAGTTTTTCTAATAAAAATTGTAGTCAATATAACACATGCATCAAATCACCACTAAATAAAAAAATCTTTTGATAATCAAGGTGCTTGACTAAGGTATCTATGTCTGCTTAACATTACATAAACTTGTATTAGTTGGAAGCTTGATGCAAACTTAAGCGGCTCTGCTTCATTGTTATGACCAATTCCCAAAAATACCGATCTTGTAACCTGGATAAGAGACTCCATTTTGACTATAAACAATGAGATGCATGATGGTCCTTCGACAACAACCACTATTTTATCATATGGAATTTAGCTATAATGCATAGACAGACACTTGCAGCATATGGGGACATGGAACTTCTGTAGAAGTGCCTACATAGATATGCTAGATTGGATATAATCTTTCTCTATGAGAATTTGGCAGGAAAAGTTGGTGTTAATGTCCTAGTTCTCATTAATTGGATACCCTATGGATTAGTCATGTGTGATGGCTTGCCCCAGTGTATATTTGATAATCAACCTCCTTTGAAACTTCTTTATATTGTTAAATTCGCTCCTCTAGATTTAATTTTTTTCTTTTTTTTGTACATTATGCTGACTCGTGCGGCTCCAACATAATATATGCTGGTGTGTGGCTTACAGCTGATGATGGATTTAGTCCCAGAGGGAGAGGAGCTGATGCCACATAGGGATGAATTGAACAATCCAGGTTTTTCTCAAGCAGAATCAGCACCATATGATTCTGATGCAGCATTACGGAACACCAATAAAGAAACTGTCAAGGAATCGTGCCCTGGTCATGGAGGAACAATCAGTTACTGAAGACTGTCCTGAAAATGGTGCTGGCAATGCATGTATCCGCAAGTGCAAGCGCAAGCTGCAGTGAGGTATTCTATGCATGTCAACTCCTTCTGGTTCAATGGCACTAAACTTATCTCAGGGTGTAGTTTTTGTGATGTATATAGAAAGGTAGGTTGGGAATTTATTAGCCCTTTTGGATCTTTTTTGCCTCTTTCCATGGGTAAGTAGTATTTAAGCTTCTTGTCTGGGGTTGTGGGGTTGTACTGATTACTAGGGCCCATTTTGTTTATCTTGAGATCATTTATATCTATATATATTAAAATTGTATATCACACATCAGAATCCTTGTAACTGTATATTTGGTTAAGAGGCATGTTCCTTTTGTTTTCTTTCTTTGGCTATAATCAGTAATGTTGCGTCTTTCCCCCCACAAAGGAGTCATACTGCTAAGGGAATAATCTGAGGGATGATTTACTGTTTACCTCAAGGCAACTGATAGGCTTTGGGATTTGTACGTGCCAATCATTTTCCATTCAACTGATTTTGTTTCGTTTTGTCCACAAGATTAATATGATAAATCTTCAAATGCGTTAGTTTTCTTAGATGAAAAATACCGTAGACTTTCTAGTATCATGACAACATCAAGACAGTCACGAAGTAGAAGTGGCCCGTTGGCTCTCTTGGTGACTGATTGCAAAAATATTATGCTTGGCATTAGATTTTGATTTAGTTGAGATCGAACTTAAAGTGATGACAAGAGTTGAGTTGTTTAAGTGATACATTGCGGATTTGATAACGAGAATAGATAAGCCTTTCGTAGGAAGCCAAAACTTGATTTGAAAGGATGAGCTTGGACGAACTTCCTTATTGCAAGAGGGAAACAGTTCTTTCATCCGGGGATTTTCTAAGCTGGTCAAAGTTGACAAATTGATGGGTTGGGTGTAAAATAAATTTAATTTGTTTTCAATCTGTTTAGTAAGTGAGTTGGATTATAACGGATTGAGTTAAATTTATTAATTCGTAAAATAATTAAAAATTTTAATATAAATACATATTGAAATACTAAATAAAACATATGTTAATACACAAAAATATACACACTAATAAAGCAGGGTTGGGGTTTAGGTTCAGGTCAACTTTGGGGTTGGATATATTAGTGTGTATATTTTGGTGTATTAGTGTATGTGTGTATTTTTTGGTGTATTAGTTTGCGTAATACACTTTCATGTATTATTTTCCGGTGCAAGCTCATCATTGTAACATAGTCAATTCATCCTTTGACACCTTAGTTCAAATATAAGGACTCTGCACTAAAATGAAAGATATTGAGATATCTGTCGGGGTGGTTTCAAGCTAAGGTGACGGCCTTAGAAATTGGAGTCGATTTGGTTAAGGTGTCGATAGAAGATCTAGTTGGGCTAATATGGACTTTTAAGATGAATCTCCTTCCACCCAAAAAATCAAAGGGAGTGGCATTGACCCTACTTGGAAAAGGAGGATGTTGCGTATTTTGCGAAAAAGTTCAAAAGGTATTTTAAAGGCTCATGAGTCATCTAGGTCGAAAGAGGGGATGAGTAGACCAAAAACTCCCAAGGAGAAATGGGAGAAAGGGGGAAGAACTTGACAAGAGGTTGGAAAGAAAAGGATCAGACCTCTGATGCTTTGAGTATCACGGTTTTAGACACATGGCTGTAGATTGTCCTATTAGAAAAAAGACGGACATGCCCAAAGAATACATGAGAGCAATGAAGGCTAAGTGGAGTGACACTATCGGTGAGTTCATATCAAGTGAGAACTCTTCCTCTCAAGAAGATAAGGAAATTTTATGGTGTATTCATATTCCTCTTGTCCTAGAGAAATTCAAGAAGTCAAGTTGAGGATATTGAAATAAGTCCTACCACTATGGTCTAAGACTTGGATGAAGAAGTCCACATATGTGGGAGGATGTTGAGAGTTTTGAGGATAGACAAGATGCATATGAGCAATTGTATGAACAGTTTCTCAAACAAAGATAAGTGATTGTGTTGAGTGGTAGAGTTAACACAAGCAAAGAAAACCAAAAAGTACTCCATGTGGAGTTAGTGAAGACAAAGGATCATATTTTTGGGATTGAGAATGAGAAGAAGTTTTTTCAAGACAAAGCGAGCTTCCTAGAAAGAGAGTGTCATGGGTTTGTCTAGTCAAAGAGTGTCTAGATTCCAAGTTGATAAAACTTGATAGAGACCCTCGTGAATCACAAGAATTCTCTAAAACACTTTCCATAATCAGAAAAATTAGATAAAATGTTGTCTATAAGGAAGAGTACTAGTGACAAGTGTAGTTTAGGCTACACAAATGAACACATCACCTCCACTCCTTCCAAGACCATGTTTGTCAAAAGTAATCTAAACCCATCACCCCCATGTAGGAACACAAGTCCTCCAAAGGCTAAAATTGGTAAGGGTGGAAACTTAAAGAGCTAGTTAATAAGGAAACTCAAGCTAAACAATTTGTGTGTTTCACGTGTGAACAACATAACATGGTTACTATAGTGCTTATTGCATGCATAATGGGGAAGTCTTGAACAAGAGGCTCACTGAGTAGCAACTAAAAGTGATGTTTTCTTATAGTTTATTCATAGCTAATTGCTTATTATTTGAGCCTATATATGATTGACTATTGGGTTTTCAACTTAACTCTTGTTTTTAGTGATTGATTTATTTTTCAGGTAAACAAACAAATTTGAGTTGGATGCACTTGATGAATAAGTTGCAAAGGAGGATCAAATTGGATTCAGGATGGCAAAACCATACTTTAGAACATGGATCGAGATTAGAATCAAAGTGGATACTTGTGGATGATCCAAACCCATTTCTAGAATATTGGGGTCCAGAACCCAAGGAACGCTAGATAAATAATACTGTCCGGATGCAACTTGCACCGTCCCGATGCAATCATTAAATCATACTTATTAACTTATTAAAGTCAAAGTCAAAATCGAATACGGAGTGTCACCGTCCAGACTCAATTTTCACTGTCCAGACGCAAGCATCAAAGTTGCAATTCCAGAGAGTTTTAATTATTCGGACACCATTATTATTGTTCAGACTCAAAATTGACGATACGGTGTTCAACCATCCAGACACGAGTGTTACTGTTTGAATGCCACTCTAAAGCAATAAGTTCCAGTGACTTTCAACTATTCGGATGCAGCCAATTTTGTCTGAATGCGCCTCTTTAAGTCTGCCAGAAGTCTTCATCAAGCAGAATACCAAATTTTTAGAAGCCACGTTCCATACCTATACCTATGTTATTTTGTATAAATAAAGGAGCTCTCATGTGTAGAGAGATCATTATTTTTTTTTTTTTTTTTTACTTTCAAGTTCTATGGATAGTGAGTAAGTTTTCTTGTACTCTTTAATTAGGGTATTGACCTAGGATTGTGAATGAATTATTCATGTTTTATGCAATTATTTTATTTATGCTTTAATGTTATATTTTCCTGAAATTCTAGATTAATTTGAATGATAGTTAGTAAAGTTTTATACTCTGTATAATTGTTTGACTATTCATTAACTTGATTAAATTTTTGGTATGAATAGTGATTTTTATTCCCTGCGAGTTTCATAGAACTAATTCTTAAATTCATATTTTCAAAGTAATCGCTTATTGTTTTCAAAACCAAATCTTCCGGTTTCCTACAGCAATTAACTTCAATATTGCTAGAAAGTTCATCGGTAGGTTTGATGTATAAATTGCACCATATCACAGCAACTGGTTAGGTTAATCGGAAAGTTTATGCACCATACAACAACTAAATAACCCTAGTAAACCTGAATGTAAACCATTCAAAAAGTTTATTTTATGTATTTGATCAATAGGTCGATGATTCAATGAGGACAGAGTTTCAATTTATGCATTGAATCAAAAGCCTTGACTATGGCAAGATTTAACTTGTCTATAATCAATCTCCCAACTATTGCATAAATCCCAATTACGTGCATTTTTGTATCATGTATGAAATACGTAATAGTATATAGATGAAACGGTGTATAGCAATAGGTTTAGCTCGGTACTTGTAACCAGAAACATATAGTAATGCGATACCAAATGGGAATAGAAATCATCTATAAGTTAAGAGAGGTATAGACATTAAAGTATAGGTAAAACATCGGCATTTCCATAACTAAACAGTATGACACATGTCTTCACCTTTACTAAAAAATATAAACAAACTACTTACACTTTATTGCTATAGACGAGCAAGAAAGATAAGATAATCTTATTACAATACAACAGAAATACAAAACCAATGCAAAAAGTTCTTCTCTGAGAAATAGTTGAAACATCATCACTCTTACTACCGACTAGGGCACAAAAGTGAGAGAGGTTCAATCCTCAAAGCAAAAAGGATGTAAAAGAAATGTAGAAGAAGAGAATTTATGGCTTAGGAGTGTTTAGGGTAGGGCATTCTTCTTTATGAATTGGGCTTTCTTCCTTGTGGAAGGCTTTCCTTCAAAATGACCGAACAAGGCTCCAAGGGAAGGTTCAAGGCAGCAGACATCCATAACACTCAATCAAGGCCTTTTGTTGCATAAATGGATCAATGTGAGAAGAGGATGAGTTGAGACAATTTAGGCCACCATCTGGATGTCACCACCATCGTTTGGATGATGCGCTAAGTCTCTAGTTTTTGTGCTTGCAGCCTCCTTTGTTGACTTGCTGACCACACTGGCGTTGGAATGGTGCTTCACCATTCGGATGGTGCACGTCCTTTGCTAAAATTACTTCTGCCCCCTCCTTTGTTTGTCTTCCTCACTTTTATCCCTCCAAGTTCTCGTAATTTCATATGAAACCCTACAAAATATACAATTCAAATATTAGCCACAACACAATTTAACTAAAACATTTTAATTCAATTAACGCACACTATTAGTCATAAACCCTAATTTAATATCATGCTTTTTAGGGTTAATCACACTCTTAACCAAACATTACTGGACCCTAATTTAATATCGTGCTTTTTTAGGGTTAATCACACCCCCAATCAAACATTACTAGTCCCTAGAAATAAAAATAAATAATATACAATATATATATATATATATATATATATGCAAGAAGCTATTAAACCCCTAGGTGATCCCTAGTGGACGAGTTTCGTCTAGTGAAAATATCTACAAACTTCAACAGTTAAGACAAAATAATCTATATTTTTCGCATATAAAATTAAATC